TCTATCTATCTATCTATCTATCTATCTATCTATCTATCTATCTATCCTCGAGTTGCAATTCGCTTGAGCCTCAGACCTGTCCAAACATGCCATGGTAGGACAGGTCAGAGGCAATGGCAGGTGGTCTCACGTCATGGTCGTCTCACGCTATTCGAGTTGTGGAGAGCACAGTGCCAAGTCTAGCGTCTTGGCCATGTGCTTGGCCGTGTCTAGAGGCGTGAACATCTCGGCGAGCGCGCCGCTGCAGCTTCGTAATGCGACTCGCCGTCGACGCAGCAATTTCGCCCAAGTATGCCAGGCGAAACCTTGCAGCAGCGGCGTCGTGGGCTATTGCTTGGCTTGCGCGTCAAGCGCGCGGCTCAAGGCGGCGGCCGCAGCATCCTCGAAGGTCATGACCTCGTTCGCGCTGGCTTTTGCATGTCGCTCGTCTGCGGCGTCGCATGAGCGCTGTTCCTGATGCTTCTCGCATGTGGGTCAGAAGGAAACACTGTATTGCATTCCATCGACCTCGTCTTCATCTATCTACTGCTTCATGCCTGCTTAGCTCGTAAAGTACGTGCCCTTCTTGAAGCAGTCCATGCATAGTCTGTGGCGAAGCTTCTTCGTGCCGCAGTGCTCGCACGACTGGAGGTGCACGATGTTCTTGAGGCGCTTGGACGGGTCGTTGTTGCGGATCTTCTTGCGCGACGGCGTCACCTTGGACTTGGGGCACGCGTGCCAGAGCGCGTCGTTGAGCTCGTCGGCCTCGTGGTCGTGGTCATGGTCGCAGGCGCCGTGGGCAGCAAGCTCCATCTGGACCTGCGGGAACATGCTCCACGTCGGAGTCTGCATGAGGCGACGGACGCTCGTGACGAGGCGCTGGAGAGCCATTTCGACCTGCGAGGATTCTAGAGTAAGACGCTGCCACCAGTCGACGACCGCCGGTCCGGAAAAACTCCGGCTTTCCAGCACCACATGCCAAAAAAGGGTCATCACGTTAAACACGCGTAAAACCCGTCGGGTCCACCACGCCGACGTGATGGAGCGTACCAAAGGTAGTAGACACAGGCGTCACACGGCCTTGCGTCGACGCTTTGCAAGGTCGGTGTAGTGGCGTTTCACAGTGTCCTTTGGCCTCAGCACGGGCATTTTTACGTCGAGCCGCTTCCATCGGTTAAATCCATCCAAAGGCGTTAAACTCGGCGCGCCTGCTCGCCGACGCCCGAGCCGATGCGATGCGAGCGAAGCGAACCAACGAGACTTATATTGCAGATGCGTTAAAAGGGTTCGCAGCGCACCCAGCCCGACGACTGGAGGCTCTTGACGCCCGAGTTGCCTCGTTGAAAGGGCATGATCGCACAGCGCTTCTCTTGCAGCATCTGGAAGAGAATGCGCGCCTTCTCGCCCGTGTTGAGGACGACGTAGAGCTACGCGCGCCGTGAGCCATAAACAGCGAAGAGGTACGTACAGCGTCGTCCGTAAAGGACTGGATCGTGCCGACGTACTCGCGCTGCATGAGGTTAGACGAGAGAACGACCTCATCGCCTTCGTCAAAGAGGAAGTCGCCACAGCTGAGCACTCCCCGGCGGCACGACGTTGGCACTGAAGACAGATAAGATCGCAGACATCAAAGCGCAAGCTTGTACCTGGCACCAGCGTGTCGTTGAGGACCGGCGTGGTCTTCCAGCTGTCGCAAATGGCGGCCACGTCGCTCTGCACCTCGGGCAGCGCGAGGCGGCACTCGGACGGCGGCAACAAGCCTACGACACCTCATGATGCCGGATCAAGGCAGAGACAAGATACCGTCCGCGAGCTTGGGTTTCTTGGCCACCGGCGGCTCGTCGGCCGTCGGGTCGGCGTCCAACTGTGTGAGCTGCGCCGCGACGTCGTCAAGCATCGCATAGACGTGGCTCATCATGTCGTACTTGATGCAGTCCTTCCCGGTCGCGTAGAGATCCTCGGCCTTTTGATAGTCAAAGAGAAGCAAATCCTGGACGTTCTTGAGCTGGAGCTCGCGGTGCTGCCGCGCTGTCTGGAGCGCGCGGCTCCGGTCCTCCTTGAACTCGACGCACCGCCGGCAGTACTCGGCGAACGTGCCATCTTCGATCATCTGAACTTTCTTCTTGAGCTCAAGCATGTGCTCCTTGAACTCGGCGGCGGTCTCTTCGTGGCCGTCGTTCTCGCCGTCGTCGTCGTCCGCGTCGTCGTGGCGCGCCTTGCTCTTGCTTCCGTGCTTCTTCTCGTCGAGGATGTCGGCCTCGGCTTCTTCGATGCATCCTATGAGCGCCTGCAAGAGGCCCTGCGCGGTGGCCTCCTTGTCGTCCGCTTCGTCTTCCGACATGGAGTCGTCGACGTTGGCGCTGTCGTGGTCCTTCTCCAGCTGCTGCAGCGAGCGCGATCGGGGCGGCGGCGAGCGCAGCCCGTTGCCATGGCTGCCGCTGTCGCCGTCAGCGTCCTTGGAGATGCTGCTCGTCTTGGGCTTGCGGCCGCGCTGTCCGCCACGGCGAGATCGTTCCATCCTCGGCCGTGATCTTCGCCACAATTCAACTTTGCTCCAGCGCACACTCCGGCTCGAATGTACATTATTTAGGGATTTGTATACTCTAATAGTGTACACAAAGATCCGTGCTAGATTGGTGTTTACGACATACGAGTCAAAAGGCGAGCTCGAACCATCGCCAAGCGCCTTTTGATGCTTCCTATCTTCCACAATCACTGTGTTTTGATGCGTACGCGTGCGTGGGTCTCCTGCAGCTATGAACACTAGAGCGTCGAGTACGCTTTTCACACTATAATCGTGTATAAAAAGTACTGTGCACAACGTGGCCAGGAGACCGACCAGTACTTCCAGTCATTTGGCGCGTACACAGAGCGCACGTGGTCTCATGATCCAGCTCAAGACGACAAAACACACCGATGAAGCGACACAGCGAGTCCAGGAGCCGACCAGTCGCCCAAGGATTCCTTAGCAACCATAGCAATGGATGCACACTATAAAAGTTTAAAATGTTATAGTGTTACCCATGATTTATGGGATCCCGGAGCAAACCCGGTGGCCGGCCAAGGCCTCCAATCAATTGGCCGCTAAGGTGCTCATTTGAGCAACCCAATCGGCGCGAGCAACCTATAGTACTATGGCGGACGAGACCCACAGCCATGAGCGCCCCGAGTAAGGCTACGTGCAGCATGACAACATGTGATGCTTATGGTGGCCTGCGTAGACGCGTGCGCCCGCGCCGCCTGGAGCCAGACACGACTGCATACCTCCTCGAGGTCAAGACGTCGCTGCTCGAGAGCCTCGGTGACGACGGCGACGACACCAAGTCGATCCTGCTCTGGAACGTCCTCGAGGAGCTGGCGCCGCGTATCGCGAGCGCGGCCTCGGACCGCCACGCGTGCGAGATCGTTGAAGTGCTGGTAGAGCACATGTCGCCGCGCCAGCTGAGCTTCTTCGTGCACAAGATGGAGGGCTACTACAGCCATCTCTGGACGAACCGGTACTCGTCGCACGTGCTCCAGCGCATCCTGTCCAAGGTCGGTGCCATCGTGCAGGCCGAAGTCGACGGGTCGCTCGAGACCACCGAGGACGACGACGAACGCTCCAAGAACGTGCCGACGATGGCGACGCTCATCGTGGCCATGTGCACCGAGGTCAAGGACGAGTGGATCACGCTCGTCGACGACGTCAGCGCGTCGCACGTGCTGCGTGGCGTCCTCTGCGCGCTCGCGGGCCGCGCGCCCGTCGCCGAGAAGCGCGGCAAGAAGGGCAAGCACGGCGCCGTCAAGTTTGAGAACCTCCCGAAGAAGAGGTAGAGACCACTTGGCCGAACTGGAAGCTCACGCATTCGTAGCGACGACGAAAAGCTCAACGCCGTCCAGTACACGGTGCCGGCGACGTTTACGTCGACACTCACCGACATTGTCGAGGTCATGATGGACGCGCCCGACCACAAGCTCGCGGAGCTCATGTTCGACCACCACGCGGGCCCGTTCCTCTCGATCGCGGTCCGCGTCTGCCCCGATGCGCTGCGGCAGGATCTCGTCTTCCGCCTCCTCAACTGGGACGACGAAGAGTCGTCGAAGAAGCGCTTTTATGACTACGCCGGCGACACGGTCGCGAGCCACTTTCTCGAAGCGGTAGTGGACGTTGAATGGAATGGCTCACTCAATCCATTGCTAATGTAGCTGTGCCAAACGGCGTCCGAAGACCTCTGGACGAGCGTGTTTGATCGCTGCATGCAGAGCCGGCTGCTCGAGTTCTCCGAGCACGCGATCTCCAACTATGTGGTGCAGAACTTCATCTCGCACGTGCCGACGGCTGCGTACGCCGAGATTGTCCTCGACGAAATGAAAGATGCACTCTGGACGCTGCTCTCGATGCACCGCCCGGGTGTCATCTGGCGTCTCGCCGAGTGCTGCGTGCGCTTCAAGCTCCACTTCGAGCGCTTCTTCAACTCGCTCACGGCCGCAGTCGCCAAGCAGGAGAGCAAGAAGCCCGCGGCGGTACAGAAGGACGTGGTGCCGGCGCTGATTGCGCTCGAACTCTCCAACTCGCAGGTATGTCCTGGCAGCTGCGAGAAAAATGAGACTCATGGCGCGTAGAACGCCAAGCTCTCGCTCAACGTGGCTGGCGCGCGCATCGTCGAGACGCTGTTGCAGTTTCCCGCGAGCATCACGGCGCCGCTGGTTAAGAGCATCCTCGGCTTGAACGCGCTGCAGCTCGTCGCGCTCTCCAAGGACTCTGTCGGCAGCCGCTGCCTCGTGGTACGTCGCAGTGTCGATCTGCAACGCGACTCTGAACCGGTTCATTCGTAGGAACCCATCTGGAACAGCGAGAACGACGAGGCCAAGATCGAGCTCTTCAACAAGTTCAAGGGCCAGTTTGGCACGCTTGCGATGGACCGCAACGGCGCCTTCTCGGTCATCAAGTGCTTCAACACCATGTCGCTCGAGTACAAGGTAAACAACTCGCTTCTTGGTTTCGGAGTTGATACCATATTGATACTTTGCAGACGATGATCGCGGAAGAGCTGTCGTTCATGGACGCCAAGCTCGTCGGCAACCACTTCGCGTCCATGGTCCTCACCAACTGCAACGTGCATGAGTTCAAGACGAACGAGGAAAAGTGGCGGTCGACTTACGGTATACTCGCAGCTGAAATATCGACGCGCCCACAACGCTTGCATAGAGCGCAAGCGCAAGGTCAAGGAGCTCTTCTCGGACCTCGTCGACGAGACGTCCTCCACCAAGAAGGACAAGAAGCAAAAGAAGGACAAGAAGGCAGCCAAGAAGGCCGTCCAGGAGACGACGGAACCCAAGGCCAAGAAAGCCAAGAAAGCCAAGAAGTCCACCTAATTACTAGATCAACACACTACTCTATCATCTCTCCTCGTGCTCTGGACGACGCGACCCCACGCTGCAGGCGTTCCGAGCCACCTGCGAGGAGGCTGCGTTGGCAGCGATCGTCCGCTCGAATGACCCCAGTACCGGTTGGATGCTGCATGCACAGCGTATAAGAAACATTTCTTATATCCTTTGGCTGCGTCCCATAAGCAGCATGCTCGCCCTGACAGATAGCCCACCGCTCAGGCGGTGGCCTTCATAGCACGGCCTTCTTGCTTTGGATGCGGGGTTTACCTGGCGAGTGGGCCATGGAGATGGTCATCAAGGTCATCGTGCACCACGACCAAGTGCGAACGTTGCGCTCGGATCGGTGCGACATGCGGCGAAGCTTCCGGAGCGTATCCGGCGGCCCCGTCATCCCGAGATTTCTGTCGCCGTTGCAAGATGGTCGCCGAGTCGTCGCCGCTGTCGGCCGGAGCCTTCCTGCACACGCCGCAGCCGCATCATGACATCCTCTTCTTTGGCACGCTCGACAAGCGACGTACGTCCGTGGCCTCGTCGACGTGATGGCTCACGTGCATGGATGGGTAGGCGACGGCGCGGTCCGTGGCGGCTGGGTACGACGACGCGCTGCTTGTGGCAAAGCTCATCCACGCGATGTAGGCGACGCGCCTCTTCCTTCTGACGTCGCAATGGCTCGTGTACTTTCGCCTCACGTCCAAGCTCGAGATCCTCGGCGAAGAGCGTGAGCGCGTCGACCTCAAGTCGATCGCCAAGGTACCGTCGCGCTTGCCCGTTGCGCAGGAAGGAGGACGATGATGATGATGCGTAGGTGCGCGTGGCGCCCGAGTCGGAGGTGCCATCGGCCGCTGTCGAGGTCGCGAAAGAGTTTGTCTACCTCGAGATTACGCTGCAGTCGCACCGCGTGCTCCTCATGCGCGCGTCTCGGAACGAAGCCGCGGCCGTCGACACGTGGGTCGCAGCGATCAACGAACAACGCGAGGTCCTCCTCCAGCCGACGCCCAAGCTCATGTACTCGGGCACGGCCAAGGCGCCGACGCCCGCGCCGGTCCCGGTCCCGCCCGAGACGACGCCATCGGACCGCTTTGACCACGCGATCGCGCTCGTCGGCATGGTCGACGACTACACGGAGCGCGAAGAGTTTGTTGTTGCGAAGCACGTCGCGTTCGGCCAGCGCATCGAGCTCGGCGTCGTCAAGCAGGGCGGCGCGTGCCTCCTCATGCTCGACGACGGCGGCGTCGCGCGCATCGGAACGCAGGCGCTGCTGGGCAGCTGGGACGCCAACGAGACGTGCTGGGTCGAGTTTGTCGGCGCCTCGGTGCCCTGCGAGGTCGAAGTCTCGGTCTCGTGCCAGGTCGTCAAGCACACGCCACCGATCACGCGCGCGTCGTCGGACGCGGCGCTTCTCTTGCCGTCGCCGTCGCACACGTTTCTGCGCAAGGCCTCGGACGGTACGCTGCAATAACAACTCTGTGCATGGACGGATGCGAGCATATTTGTAGGCGCGAGCCTCGGGTTTCTGCTCTTGGCGATCCTCGTGCACTTTATGTATGGCGTCCAGGGCTTCCACTGGTCGCACAAGGCGTGTCTCACGGCCGGCGCGGCGCTCGCCATCACGAGCCTCCTCCACAGCTCCGACACGACGTCGGCGACGCGGTATGCATGCGTCTCCATGTGGCGATACTTGAAACATTGATACTTTCTAGATTGAAGCGGGCCGCCCGGCGAACCCAGGCGTCGCTGATTCCGAAGGTGCAGCTAACGCTCATCGTGCACCAATGCCGGCGCACCGCCGCGGCTTCGTAGCACAGAGAAAGCAGATCAACGAGGACTGTAAGATTCATTACGTGGCTCCGTACCGCCGCAGAAAGGTCTGCGCCGACGACGCGAGGGGCAAGTCGGCGTTCGCGTTGTTGTTGTGGGCGGAGAGGGCCAGTAACACTTGCGAGAGAGGCTCGTGGTCGAGCTCGACGAGCGCCTCGAGCGGCATGTCGGGGTGCGACGGGAACGCTGCGCTCCACAGCGCTTGGAAACGCGTGTCATCGAGGGCGACGTTGGGCGTGGCCAGCGACTGGTCCGAGAGCGACAGCTGCTGCGTCACCATCGAGTGGTGCTGCAAGCGGGCGTTGGTGCGGTAGGAGGGCGCTTCGGAGAACGACCGCGACCGCCGACTCGACGTCGCCGCGAGCTCGGCGCACGACGGCTGGCGACGGCGCGGCTGGCGGATCGAGCCCGACTCGCCAATGGACGCAAAGAGCACGGCGTTGTCGGGCAAGTCCAAGTACGCGGCGGCGTGGAGACTCCAGTCGGCGCCCACGTCGACACCGTCGCCCGTCACGTCGAGGAGCTCGTACGCGCGCACTTGAAAGCGCTTGCGTAAAATGTCGAGCAGCACGTGCGTCTCGGTGCCGGGAACGTATGTGATCGTGAGCACTTGGTGCTGGAGGCACGGGCTCTTGAGCGAGAGCGATTTGCGACTGCGGCCCGTACCGGTCGACAAACAGCATGCGCACGTTGAGGCGGAAGGGCAGCGGGAGGTGGATGGCCCAGAGGTGCACGAGGCAGTGGTCGCAGACGCGGCCGACGTCGCCGCTCGACTCAGGCAAGAGGAGGCGGCTGCTCGAGCACTTGGCGCAGACGACGCGTCGGCAGAGGCCGCACCGATGCCGCCACTCGAAAAACGAAAAGGTCTTCGAGCACATGTGGCAGCCTTCGTCGGCCGTCGACGGCTCGAGCGTCAGCATCGGTTTGGGCACGGGCTTGTCCTGCAAGCCGCCTTCCAGAAGCGCGTCGAGCTCATGGGTCGCGACCGTGTTGGCATGATAGAGGTTGCGCTCTTCTACCATGAGCGCTTGGAGAAAGCCTTGGTTGGGAAAGCAGACGCCGCGGTTCGAAATGCAGTAGTTGACGGCCGTCACGAGCGACCAGCGCTGGGCGCGCATGAGGTAGTAGATGGCGAGCGTCGCGGACCGCGAGATGCCTTGCGTGCAGTGGATGAGCACGCGGCTGTGCTGCGTCTGCTTGGCGCGCTCGAGGAAGGCGAACGTAGGCTCGAAGTGCGCCGTGATGTTGGCGTAAATGTCGTCCTTGATCTTGACTTCATGGTACAATACGCCGGAAGTCTCAAAGACGTTGCCCGTATCCAGGCTCGCATTCACGATGTGCGTGATCCCGAGGTTGCGCACGACCGAGGACGACTGCGCGTGCCACATGTTGCCGAGGAAGAGGAAGCCGTCGAGGAGCTCGTTCGGGTAGTTGATGTTGTGCGTCCCGCTCTGTGTGCGCGCGAGGAAGAGCCCTTCGTCCGCGTTCTGGCCCGCGAAGAGAAACTGCGTCGTATAGAACGGGTACCGGTACTGGAACGTCGTGAAGCCGTCGTCGAGGTACCGGACGCTCGAGACAAGCCCTTCCTCGACAAGGAGTTGCCCGAGCTGGCGGCCCCAGTGCGATGTGCTCGGCCGCACCGTCTCGCCGTAAATCACTACCTCGCGCAGCTTGCGCTTCTTGGCCGAGAAGAGGTGGGCTTGTTCCGGAAGGAGCGACCGCTCGAGCGTGCTCAGCGACACGCGGCCCGACGGCGGCGGCGCCGAGATCGCGGTCGGGATCGAGTCGTCTTCAAAGCTCCCGCGGCTCCGCGCGTCCAACAAGAGCATGCCGGTGCCGCTCTGCAGGCGGTTGAAGAGCCAGCGACACGTGACCGAGGTCTCGGGCACGACGCGCCGACGGGTCTCGGGCCGCGCGTCCTTGGTGCTCGCGAGCACAAACGCGTTGGTTGCGAACGACGAGGCTTTACCGGTCGTCTGCTTGAGCGCTTGCAGCTCCGCGGCGTGGAGGTGCGCGAGTGCGATCGCGTGGGCGGCCTTGTCGCGCGGCGGGAGGCCGTCGCCGCGCGTGAGCTGGCGCAAGGCGGGCTTGTCGTTGGCGGCGATGCTGCTGGCGCCGTAGAGGGCTGTCTCTTTGGCGAGCAAAATGCCGAGGATCGCATCGCGCGGCATCATGCTTGGGCGACCGCGCAAGACGCGGTGGTACGCATCGTAGAGCGGCGCGCGCTCGGTCTTCATGATAAAGTAGACCGCGAGCATGCAGCAGCGCGACCGGCCGTAGCTCGAGTGCACGAGGAGGCGCGACTTGGTCGCAAAGGCGGCCTCGATGAACGCGACGGCGTCGTCAAAGGCCTGGAACGTGCCGGCCTCCGGGTCCTCGCGCGAGACCGACAAGTCAAAGTACTCGACGTGCGCGAACGGCTTGTCCTGCGTCGACGACGAGCAGTTGACGATGGCTTCGATGTTGAGATCGCGCACGACGCTGCTGCGCACGGCGTCGGCGCTGTTGCCGAGGAAGATCCAACCGGATGCGGTCGCGATCAAGTTGACGCTCGGTGGCGCATCGAGCCGGAACGAGGCCGCAAACGACGGGTCGACGAACTGCGCGATGAGCGGCGCAAGGCCTGCGCTTGCACGAAGCTCGGCCACGACGTGGATGAGCAGCTGCATCTTGGAGGGCAGCGACGCGATGGCCACGTCATCGCCACCGAGCAAGAGCAGGTGCGAGAGCGACGTCGACGGGTCCACGAGGCGCTCCGACACGGACGGCGGCAGGTACAAGTTGCAATAGTTGTCGTTCGTCTCTGTAAAGCCGATTGTCGAGAAGACGCCCGAGGTCACGTCGGCGTTGGTCAGCACGAGGAAGACGATGCTGTTGCTGCTGTGCTGGAGGCGATTGAAGAGCTCGACGGGCCCGATCGTCTCGATCTTGTCCGCTTGGCCATCGCTGGATGCGTCGTCGGCGAGGCCGCTGCGCTTGTCCTCGGCATAGCGGCCAGAGGCGTCGTCGGGCGGGCCATGGGCGGCCTCGACCGCTTCCATCTCCCTCGCGACTCGGAGTTACAGCAGGCTACACCAACGGGTTGCACTCGGGTAATAAAACGACCTTGCGATTTGTATACGGGAGACAGAATATTATTGCAGAGTGAAGCTGGATACAATCGCCATCCAGCGCAAAAAGCCGGAGCTGGCGCGATGGGCTAAGATGCTATTCTTAGTGCTTCAAGCAAGAAGGCTACAGCATGCAGCAGCAGCTCATCGAGGGCTTCGTCATCGACCACCTCGACACGCCTGGGCGCAGCGTCACGCACCGGCCGTCTGTGCGCTACGATGCCAATGGCCGGCGCGTGATCCCGACGCTGGACACGCCACGGTCCAAGATGCATGTACCCAAGCTGCCGAGCCCACGCACGATGGCGCATCCGATCGTCCGAACGCTGCCCGCCAAGCGCCTCGTGGGCGCAGCCATTGCGGACTTGGCGATCCCGACGGGCCGCGCTCAGACGGCGCCAGCCAAGCCCGAGACTACAACAACATCAACAACAACAACATTTCCAGCGCTACGCAGCCCGCGAACCGAAGCCATTGTCGATCCGCAGCTCCTGCCCAACATGTCGAGGCCGCTGGCTACGTGGGGGCTCCCGCGTGAGTACATCATCGAGTTCATTCGGCTCTCGGTGTTGCCGTGCTCATGGGCCATGTACACATGCTCTATCCTCGAACGACGACGCTACGCATGCGTCTAGGACATCAAGTCGATCGGCGAGTGGGTCGTTGCCGAGTCGGACACACCGTCGTCACCCTCCGACCCGGCGGTGCTTCGCGAGACGACGTAGGCGCCATGCGGCGACCGACCCTCAATAATGCATCCTCGTAGGCAGCACGTACTGCCGCACATCAACGCACCGGAGCGGTCCCCGCGGCAACGTCCTCCACCGCCAGTTTCACCGCGCCGCCCTCATACGCTGCGGGAGGTGCCGTTCGAGGCCAAGTACAATCTTCTTCATGCTTGCCAGCCGAGCTCATGTTCCATGATGGGCAGAGTGCACACATTGCTCGTTGAGCTGCACGCGAATCCTGAAGCATGGGCGGCGTTTCAGGCATGCCCCTGTGGCAAGGGTGGCGCTCTAAGGCGTTCATAGGCCAAGGTCAAGGAGTACGTGGCGTCCAAGCGCCGAGGACGGGTGCGTGCCATGTCGTTGCTGCGTTGCCTCATGACGCATAGACCCACGTCGACGTACTGCGCCATGGACTGGACGAGATTCGATGCCTTGTAGATCGTCCACGAAAACATTGCGCGCGCCGGTGCGAGGGATGCTCGGTGCGCCTCTGTCGTGTGATCGCGGTTGGTGGAGGACGCGATTGTAGGCGCTCCAAGCCGACGCTCGCGCAGCGACTGCACAAGACGCGGACCAAGTACGAGTTGCAGCTGCAGCGAGAGCACGAGCACCACGTGGAGCTCCTCGACCGCCACGCGCGGCAAGCGAACCAGCAGAAGCGGCTTGCCGCGCGCGCGCAGCAGGTGCGGGCGTGGCTCCGCGTGCTCTGCACCGTGGCCCATATGGAGCGCTGGCACGTGCGCACGCGCCAGGAGAAATCCAAAAAGCTCTGCGAGCTGCGCGAGCTCGCGGCGGTCTCCAAGATCCAGCGCGTGTGGCGGCAGCGCATCCGCGTCGCCACCTCGAAGGCGCTGCTGCAGATCATCGTCAAGACGCGCCGCATTCTCTGGAGTCTCACGTTCCGCGTACGACAAACGCTGCTTGTTGGATACAGTGTCTATTACAGTGGAAGTAGATGCACTGCAAGAAGCTCGGCCAGGCCGCGAGCGTGCTGCGGCGCTTCTTTATCGACTATTTCAACGCAACCGAAACCGAGTCGGGCAACTTTCGCGTGCTCATGGCGCGCTGGCGCTGGCGCGTCATCAACGCGCAGCGCGCGAGCAAGGCGTACATTCTGTGCTCCCGCGCGCGGCTCCATGCGCTCGGCCAGATGTGGGACCGCGCCGACCACGACCGACAGCGCACCGAGAAGCAGCTGGCGGTGGCGCGATCCGCCGTCGCCGTGGCGGACGCAGCACCTCCCACGTCGCCGCCGCCTCGACGACGCCCGAATCGGCGCAATCAGGCCGAAGCGCTTGCGGACCTGGGCGCGATGCAGGCGCAACTGCTCGCGATGCAGAGCATGCTCACGCCGATCGAGATTCAACGCATGCAAAATGTCCAGGTCGTCCGCATTCCCAAGAGGTTCGCTTCCGCGCGGGGCAATATACCATGACGCGCTGTTGCATGATGTTAGCATCAAGATGCGTCTGCTTACCGCGTACCTCATGAAGCGGCGGGCGGCACACATGCGGGACGTCGCCGCGTGCATCACAAAGGGTATCTCCGATGCCAAGTCCAGGTACGACACGCAGCAGCTCTCGGCACGTGGGCTCATGGCTCCGTAGGCGTGGTGCGCGCACCACGGACGCCCTGGCCCTTGTCCAAAGCGGAGCATGGCCGACGCTGGGCGTGTTGAACGAGCTCAAGGCCACGTACCCGCCGTTCTCGCTCTACTCCAAGCAGACGAACGACGACATCAAGGAGCTCATACAAGAAGGATTGCGCCTCGCGCTCGAGACCGACGCGGACGGCTAGGATCTCGGCGATGGCTTTACTGTGTACCGGTGGGGGGCCATAAACATGTACAGGTGTGTTACGCATTGACCCCACGGCATACAAAATTTGCCAGTGCACGGTACATCAAGTCGGACCCGGTCCCTTTTGCGCGAGTCATAGGCCCTAGGAAATCCACGGAAACGTGTCGGATTGGTCGAAAGGCTTCGAAAAAGATAGCCAATGGCATCGCGCTGCCGTTGGCATACAAATCTTCTCTATAAACGTTGGGCCACGTCACCATGACCAAATATAATACAAAATCGAAATGTGCTATACAAATACAAAGTACAGCAACATTAAAAACGAAGGACTGCGGTGGGTGCGCTGCTTCCACTCTGCCATTTTCGGATTTCCTACCCACGAACCAAGATGCGCTTCCTGCACTTGATCCGCCCGGTCATGTGCGTCCTTCCCGACGGTCGCGCAGCCCGACCGCAAGATCCCGTTCCGCGAGAAGGTCCTCTGGTCGGTCATCACGCTCTTCATCTTCCTCGTGTGCTGCCAAATCCCGCTGTATGGCATCCAGAC